CCGCCCGCCCCCTCCATCACACACGCCAATTCATTCTGCAAACACCCGTCTCGTGCCCGAGTGTCCCGCCAGCACTGGGCACGAACCGAGGTGTATACTCCAGCCTGCAACCAATGACCGGCACCTAGATTAATACCGCTGTCTCGTGGCAATACGAGCCACCGGTGTTCCCCTCTTACATTACACATCTCCTTGTCACAGGGGAATCCCTGATATCACCTGGGAAAGTTTCTGATCAGTCCCCCTAGGGCATACCCGTCTGGAAAAATTCTCTTAGATTAGCGATTGAGAAGTACACCGCCTCTGCCTCCCCATCACCTTCAATCAATAGAACTACAGACAAAAAGACTCTTTTAACAAAGATTCGCAGTCAGGATTTTCCTGAAGAAGTGGCACCATCTATCCTTACTCCTCATCGATGACCTCGCAACACTCCTCACTCAAGAGTAAGTTTCTACATTTTTTTCTTTGATTTGTTTCACACCGTATCCTCACCGTCGCAATTTACATTCATGTTCCCTGGGGATCATCTGAACAAATTGGATCGACCGCCGAACATATCACTCGGCTACAGAAATTAAGACTGCTCCTCCCAACCTTTTCCCATTCCCTCCTCCCTGGCTCCGTAACACGCCCTCTCACTTAGTTTGTAGCGCTTCCCTCCTTGTTTTCTCTGTTGCACACACATACTAAAAGAACGCTCACCTAGGAGGCAGGTATGGAAGTAAACGCACACTGGGGGTCACATATTGGTGTGCACACAGAATTAGACTAATACTTAGGCTGGGTTCACACCTGGGTGTACGGAATATGCGTGTTTGCCGCGCGTTTCATGCCGTGCGGTTTTACAGCAATTTGCGGTAAAAGAAACGGTTTACAAGGGCTATCCGGCTGTATCTTAATAGATACGTGTGGCAAATACGCCCCAAAGAAGCTCCTGTAATTCTTCGGGCGTGGGGTGTTTTTCAGCACGTTCTATGGCCATAGGCAATTATTGGTTTTCACATGTTGAGCGTTTTACAGCGCGTATGAACACGCTGTAAAACGCCCAGGTGTGAACCAGGCCTTAAACCCAATTTGATGAGCTGTAGAGGTTTTAAAAGCAGCGCCGTACCGTAGTCTGCCGCTGTTTCACATTTTGTGAACACACACACACACACACACACACACACACACACACATACACACACACACACACACACACACTTTGACAGTAGTTACAAAAGCAACCCTCACCAGCCCCGCCCATCGTCCAGTCCCTCCTATCGTCCAGTCCCTCCTCTTTTCTTCACAGGCTCCACCCGCAACCTTACATACCGTATTGCAGGGTCTTTCTCCATTCAAATGTTTGACATTTCACCTCCTCTGCAACCGATCCTGACTAGGTTGACGACCCAGAGCTTGCCACCTATGCGCATGCGCGATAGGCGAGCGTGCGCTCACGATTGGCTGAAGCTAGAAGTAGCATAATAGGTTGTCACGACCGGCTGTCCTCTGCGTGCAGTGCGTGCAGTGCGTGTGAGTGCTGAGAGGATGTGGACATGGCGGCCAGGAGTGTGCGGGTCCTGGGACAGAACCTGGGTGCGTTGCTGAGGGCGCAGAGGTCACCTCTGGGGTGAGTAATGTCATGCTGACAGGTATAATGTTTATAATATACAGGGACTCGGAGCTCCCCAGCTGCTGTCACAAGCCTCGGGAATGCTGTGACCCGTAGTACCTCAATGCCTGGAGGGTTCTAGGAGTTCCCATTACACTGCAGCTGCGATAGTGCTGTATAAAGGACATGCTGTTACTTGTGGGAGCTGGAGGACACACGTGACCTTCTAATGAGTAGGGACTCCTACATGAATACATTGAAGTTCTCATTACATATCTGCTGGGTTACAGTTATGTCACTCTATATCTTTGTAACTTTATCTGTTTTATTGTAGAATTGAAATGTGTTCCGTAGAATTTTTATACTATTAACACTGTTCCTGATTGGTGCTGTCACCAGTGTAGAGTATTCATAGTTATACCCATCCCTTATTAGAAGATGGCAGGGTGATGGCAATACGTGGCATGGTGATTGGCGCTGTCACTATTGTAAAGTGTCCATAGGTATTGCAATCCCTTATTAGAGGATGGCAGGGTGACAGCAATACGTGGCATGGTGAATGTTTGCCCTAAATCATGTCAGTCACCTGCGCTCCATACAGCATATAGACCTTCACGGTAGTTTGGTGCTTGAAGTGACAAGACGGATGACGCCGTGTCAGATGCAGTCCATAATAGAGGTCACCAGCACTCGATGATATGTGCGAGAAGTATAAGCACTTTTATTGACTTGTCACAAGTGTCATAAAGCCAACGTTTCGGGGCCACGCAGGGTCCCTTCCTCAGGGCGTCATAGTGACCATCGGTTGGGGTTGGCTTTATGAAACTTGTGACAATTCAATAAAAGTGCTTATACTTCTCGCACATATCATCAAGTGCTGGTGGCTTCTATTATGGACTGCCCTGAATCATGGGCCCATAAGTCACAGGAGAAGGTGCAGTCCATAGAGACAGGATAGAAGACAATTGTGGGTGCACCCCAAAGTCAATAGAGATGGAGCAGCCTGCAGGGACCAGAGAGAAAAGGTGTTGGCACCCCTGAGTCATAGGAGATGGGGCACTCCATGAGGTCTGGAGAGAAGAGGCTTCAAGAGCACCTCAGAGTTATAGGAGGTGGAACAGTTCATGGGGACCAGAGAGAAGAGGCGTTGGGTGCACCTCAGTCATAGGAGATTGTGTAGCCTATAGGAATCGGAGAGTAGAGGATTCCAGGTGCACCCCAGAGTCATATGAGATGGTGGAGTCCACAGATGAGCCTTCTTGGTGCACTGCAGAGTCATGGGAGATGAACAGTCCATGAGGACTGTAGAAAAGAGGCTTCTGGGTGCATCCCAGGTTCATAGGAGATTATATAATCTATGAGAACCAAACAGGCCGGGCAAACATAAAAATGGAGTTTCATATTTTTTTTTTTTTTCATATTAAATGTTTATTAAAGATTTTCAAAATATAACAAAAAACACACATACAATACAGTAAGCATACATTAAGACAATCACATTACATACGATATCCAAGGTAAAAGGGGGGACAAGAGACGTAGGGGTACAGGGGGAGGGGTTGGTCCCCTGGTCGGGGCGCAATATGCGCATTCAAGCATGTGGCAAAACAGTGCATAACAATACAGTGATGGAGCCCCTCAATTTAACTTGGCAATCATTTTACCGGAAGCATAGTGTATTAGGGTAAAATACAATCGCCAGTTTTACAGAGTTACTAATAAAAAAAAATGTAATTAAATAAAATAGAATAACAGGTTTTAAAGCAGACCATATCACGCGGATAACATTGAGACATATTCGTCCTGAGTTTTAAAGTGCAGCCATCCCGCCCAAGTCGTGTAAAAAGTGCTATATGTGTCCTTACTAGAGTGATGGAGTTCTTCCATCAAACGCAGATGGTCCACCCGTGTCAACCACTCTGCCACCGTGGGTGTTTGGGTTGGAGAGACACTGGCAGGTGACATCACTCTCCCATCCTCACCGCCCTCGGGCTGTTTTTGCGGCGTGCATGCTGACTCCTCTGCTCCCTGTTTGTTGAAAAATATTCCGATGTTTGTTCTTGTCGCCGACTGGGAGGGTTGAATTATCTCCCCGGTTTTTTTCTTTTTACTGCTCTTTTTCATTCTGCTGGTATGTCAGCGGACCAGTGCGAGCGTAGCAGGCAGTCCAAGGAAAAAAGATAAATAAAATTGATAGCAGGCTGATGCTAGTAGAGCGGGTACAGAGACTCCAAGACGACCGCTGATTAGTCCGACCGAGGCAGCTACAGGATCTACAAGGCACTGGCTAGTTGATGTGGATGTAGCAGGTGCAGGAGCTCAGAGCACACACATCCTCACTCACTCATGGGTTAGCCACACCCCCCCCAGCCCTGGAGTTTCATATTTATGGAAAGATGTTTTTGCAGAAATCTCCCATTTACTTTTTACTAAGTGTCTTAGGAATTTTCATGTTTCCAAAAAAGTCATTAAAAGTTCCCAGCGCAAGTAACACATCAGCTGACTTATTGTCACGTTTTTGATTCATTGCACACTTGGCCAGTTTGTGCTTTGCAGACTCATTCTAAGAGGTTCTAGCCACCGGGGGGGATTTTATGTCTCTTGGTCAATCTTATTAGTTCCATTTCGGGTGGAGAGCAGTTATGTAACACTATAATATTGAGTTTGGAGAGGAAACCCTTAGAAACGCGGAGAGAACATGTACTTGGATTTCTGGTGGAAGTTGAACCTTGGACTCCAGTGCTGCTCTGCATCATATGAAGTGAATTAGAAGATCCACAGTATTGTTCAGGGAAGGCAGGGCATTGCATGACCCCTTATTCTGTCATGTGACCTATTTGTCCTTGTCTGCCTCTAGTGAATGATTGTACAGCAGTTGCATCATTACCAGACACAGCATCCACCAAGGTACTGAATTGCCTAATACTTCTAATACTGCTTTCATACAAATGTTCTGTAGGTAAAAGCCGAGCAGCTATATTTATAATATTGGGTGAGATACCTGCAGACGTTGCTGGTTTTGGTACTTATTGCAAATGGGGCTTTGAGAAATGACTTCTGGAATAAGCCTTAAAAGTCTGCTAATCCCTATTATCAGCAATGCATACAGTCATGGCCAAAAATATTAGCACGCCTTTATTTCTGTTGGATAATGCTCCACTGTAAATTCTTACAATTACAAATATTAAGACACAAAATTAACAGCTTTTTGATAAAACAAAATGACAGCTTTTTGGTAAAGTCCATCATTCTACTGTTTTCAGAAAAAGAAATGAGGCCTTTAAAGAGAAACATACAGTCCCTACAGTCACACACTTTGCTGCTTCAGGCACTAGATGTCTTGATTGTGTGCGTGGCATTATGACATCTGAAGACCAACAAAGAATTCTGCAGTGCAATGTAGGGCCCAGTGTCAGAAAGTCGGGTCTCCGTCAGAGTTCATGGGTCTTACAGCAGGACAATGACCCAAAGCACACGTCAAAAAGCACCCAGAGATGGTTTCAGACAAAGCGCTGGAGAGTACTGGACTGGCCAGCAATGAGTCCAGATCTGAATCCCATAGAGCACCTGTGCAGAGATCTCAAAACAGCAGTTGGGAAAAGGAACTCTTCCAATCTCAGAGACCTGGAGCAGTTGGTGAAAGAAGAATGGTCTAAATTTGCTTTAAGGTGGCCATACACTGTACAACCATCGCAAGACCTTAGTCTTGCGATGGTTGTAAAGGGATTAAAAAAACGTACGATCTGCCCATCTTGGACGGGCAGATCGCACTCTCGATCATCGCAAGCCACGCCCCCTGAGGGGCGGGCTTGCGATGACTGTAATGAGGGGCGGGCTTACGCTGACTGCAAACGGGCAGTGTGCGCGTGCGCACACCGGCCCGTTCGGCAGTTGTCGAACCAGCAGGCCACCAACTCGCCGAGAATCGTACGATTCCCGGCGGGTTTTCAAACATGCTGGTTCGATGGAAGATGTGCGACCGTACAGTAGAAACGGTCGCATGCCTTCCATACACTGCACGATTCTCGTACGATCGCGGGATTTCCCGCGATTCTCGTACGAGAATCGTGCAGTGTATGGGCACCTTTAGAGAGATGCAAGAAACTCATTCATGGTTACAGGAAGCCATTGATTTCAGTTATTTGTTTCCAAGGGCTGTGCTACCAAATATTAATTGAGGGTGCCAATAATTTTGTCCAGTCCATTTGTGGAGTTTTTCGTGGAATATTTTGATTTTTTTTTTTCTCCACTTTGTTGTGTCATACCAATACAAACACAAGAAATAAACATGAGAATGCCTAGACATCTGTAATTGCAACAATTTTCTGTGTAATGTGGTGCATTATCTGACAGAAATGCAGGGGTGCCAATATTTTTGGCCATGACTATGTGAAGTGGTATCCTTACCTCTAATATTTGGGGAAGAACACTAGCTCAATGATTCATGTAGATGGTGGTGCGATGTCCTGTGTCCTTCATAAGATGGAAATAAAAGAGGCTCGGGCCTCAATGTTGCAATATAAAATTACTGAAAGTGGAGATACAATGTACACTTGTAATCAAAATTATTTAACCCCCAATGCAAATCAGGTTTATTGTCAAAATTTACAGACTTTCAGTTGTTTTCAATTTAAATAGTTCAACACAACAATGTTTCAAGTGGTTTCTACAAATTCAACTAAAAGTGCAACTTTTAATGACTTCTGCAGTCTCAAAATGATTCTATCCCCTTCATGGCAATCCTCTTCAATACTTAGAAGAGCATGTTTTGCTGTTATGAGCTGCTGCAAATGATATGCATAGTCAGACACCAGCTTCTGGGAGCGTTCTTGAGGAATCATAGCCCATTCCTCAGGAATAATGGTCTCCAGTTCACATATTATTCTTGGGTTTGTGTGCTGCAACCACCTTCTTTAAATCCCACCAGAGATGTTCTATGGATGACTGATGGCCACTGTAGAACCTTCCAGGACTTCTTCTGCAACCACGCCTTGGTGGAATTTGAGGTATGCTTGGGATGATTGTTCTGTTGGAAGGTCCAATGACGCCCAAGTTTCAGCTTCCTCATAGACGGTATAGACATTAAAAGACATAAAAGTTCTGGTCTTTGTGGTTAAACAATGTAAGGGCTGAAGCCAAATGGAGCTGCTTTGGTGGAAGTAGTTTTAGATATGGATGTTTGAGTTGGTTGGTATCCTGTCCTATGACTTCTTGCACAGATTACAGCTCCCTGCCACACAGCATGAAGAGAATTTGTTGGTAGATTGTTCCTGGCCCTTGTCTCCCTTTTCCTGAATGAACTTTCCAAGTTGTGTCTTGGTATCATTTACTCATTGTCACTTCTGGTCAAGAAATCAGAAATATGGTGTCTTAGATGGATGACTTGTATGGCTTTAGATGGCTTGAAGTAATAAAGGAGCACGCTAATCCTCTGGTTTGAATGACATGACCCATGTACTTGTGACTTTCTGTAGGAGGTGTCCACGAATGATGTGCACGGCGGCTCAGCAGCCCAATAACCCCTCAGCAGAGGAGGAGAAGAATAAGAGCCCAGCAGAGGACTGCACAGAGCAGCTGGCTGCAGAGAAGGTGAAACTGGAGGAACAGGTCAAAGAAATGACAGTAAGTTATATAACAAAGCTGCTCCTAGTAACGGGCAATGTTTTGCTTCAAAGAGATCTTTATGAAGTAAGCTATGGTGGCAGTCTAGCCCAGCAGGAGTTGTCCATCCATGCGGTTTAGTGTGGATGGAGGAACCTGTATATTTTTTTCGGTCAGCCTGTAGTTTGACTGAAAATATGAAAATATCTAGCAGTGAATGGCCAGATTTACATTTCCAAGGGCAATGAAAGGGAGTTTACAATAAAAGTATGGAAAGAACCAATGGTATTTGGTGTAGGTCTTGGTGCTTGGTAACTTGTTGGGGAGCCGACTTCTCACTGTGTCCTAGTAAACGGCAACAGAGCAGCAATTCACACATTGACATTCTACCAGTAATATACTGCAATTCCCATAGAGAACTATTATATTATGGTTCAGCCAAAAACACAAAATTTTACATATGTAATTGTTGGGGAAAATGCCACAAGGAGGAGAGATTTCAGACTGGAGTGCATGTCTTGGGGCACTTAGAGCAGAATCATATTTACAGGCCTGCCCAAATATGGCCAGTATGTGGCATTCCATGAACCCTCCTCCTCCTTCTCTCCCCTCTCCCTCTTCTTATCCCCTCTTCTCCCTCTCCTTCTTCCCTTTTTAGTAAGTGTTAGCTGCTCACAGAGTGATTTACATATCGTTTTCACCAGATTGTCGGTTTGCTTGTGTTCAGAGATCCCAAAGATATGTTGAACCCATCAGAATTTAAGTGAACACCTTCCACGTCTAAGAGTTTGGGTGTAGCATTTGAATGCAGACTCACAGGCTGTGCACCTCTGATCTACTTTTTATTATATTCCCAGGACAAGTACAAGCGAGCCCTAGCAGACACCGAGAATTTGAGGCTCAGGAGTAAGAAGCTGGTGGATGATGCAAAACTATATGGTAAGTTTAGAAATAGACCGAATGCTGATTGGTGGGGCTGGGGGGTGGGGCTAGTATGTTACAGCATGTCATTCTTCAGGTACACAATATACATCATTATAAGAAGCCTATAGACTTAATGATACACACTCATACATCCTGGTGACATTAACCTCAGGAGTTAAATCTTAAAAATACATTCAAGTCCCCTAACTAATAACAAAAATGTATCTTATTTGTGTATCACTCGGTTGTAGATCCTCAAATCATCTCTGAATTGGTGCTGACACTGTCCTTCCTTCTGGAGGGTGACTACTTTTGTTCCCCGCGGTCCCTGTGTGTGTTGTAAAGTAGTCAGCGCCCCAAGCTCACTCCTGTGATGAATTACAATCTCAATACAAATGAGTAAACTAAACATGAGATTGTAGTCCATCACAGGAGTGAGCTTGGAGCGGTGGCTATTTTACAACACACACAGGGACCATGGAGAACAAAAGTATCCCCCCTCCAGAAGGAGTAAAGAGGATCCATAGCGAGATGATGTGTACCTGTGTGCTACAATAAATTCTTAAGCAAAGTGTGCAGACGGACATTTTTTCTGTGTGTAATGGCACCTACTGTCACCGTATTGGTACTGCTGACAATCAGAAAATGATTAGGCTGGCACTGGTACTGTTTGGCACTGTTGGCAATCAAACACTGATTAGGGCTGGCACTGTGGCAAATACAAATTGGGCTCAAATTTTTACTGCATTGTTTGGCACTAGTGTATGGAAATAAGTGCTGCTCTGATCACTGTGCTAAAGTAACCCCCCCACCCCACATCGGAAATGTATGTGAGAAGAAAGGGAGAGAAAGCTGCAACCTACAGCCATTGTTTACATTGGTCACAGCAATCGCATGGTACAGTGCCATTATTGGCCCTGTACATTTGTTCTGTGAATTGTACTGTCCAATGGATTTACATGCTAAGGGACGAGCGTGAGCAGGAAAAAAGCCTTTTATGTATGGCACCCTGCCCTAAGCTGAGCTGAGATCTTTACTCATCTTTTGATCGCACTTTGTTGTGCATTTTGTCTGCTGCTTTTAGGGTTCCATTAACAAATAATGGCATTGCAAGTGCAGCACACGCTTTCTGCTTGCTGCATAGATGTGTGCAAAAGTGCAGGTTCATGCCCCTGCATACTGTCCCACTGGGAGGAATTGAGGAAAGTTGAGACATAGAAATAAAGACTGGAAAGGAGTTCTAACCCCTCCACGCTTTATCCAAAACCAAATACAGTTTGGAAGTAGAGGTGCACCAAAATGAAAATGTCACAACCGAAATAAAAGAAAGTGTCAGCTTGCTACACAAGCTGAGGGCTATGGGCATAGATGAGGTGGTGTGTACGTGGATAGAGAACTGGCTACGGGACTGGGCTAGTGTAATCGAAAATGTTTATTTGAACTTTTTCAATTTTTTTTATATAGATATATCTATCTATCTCGGTTATATATAAACTTTTTTTTTTAAATTAAATTATTTATTTTACTTTACTTTTAGGGGCTTCGGGGAAATATTGGGGGTCTAAACAGATCCCTGATATTTCCCTTTTTAAAATAGAAAAAGAGATTGAGGTCACAGAGTCCTCAATCTCTTTATCTGCAGCCCCTGTTATCAATGAACAGGAATCCTCTACGAGTGCTCCTATCCTATCGTAACATGAGGACATTGTATGTTTACTATAACCACAATCATGAATGAACAGGAGGTGATGTAGATCACTTCCATTCATTCATAATTGAGGATATAGTAACCATACCATGTCCTCAATTATTTACAAACACTCAGCGATCACTGACTGCTTGTTCCCGCTCTCCATCCTGACAGCTGTCACAGGAGGTTGAGTAAGCGGAGCTCAGCCTCCTGTGACAGCCTTGAGAGCTGTCTCTGCCCACACACCGCTCTCCTCTGATCTGTGACATGATGCTGAGCGGTGTGGGAGGAGAAACACCGGCCGCTCACGGCACTCTCTTCCCGCACCGCTTGGCCTCTTGTGACAGCTTCTCTCCTCCCCGCTGGGCGCTGCTCTGTGTCCCAGCGAGGAGAGAAAGAATGGATGCAGCGCTGTATCAGCCAGAAAATTGCACTTTCGGCATTATGCCAAAAGTGCCGTTTCGGCAGACGATATATCGGTGCATCCCTTTTTGGAAGTTTCACTTTCCTAGGGCAATGATTCTCTTCAGTCTGCAGTAACTTACACAGCACAGTAGTCTGCTCAGGGAAGATGCATTTTGATCAGCTGCCATGTATTACTTCACTTCACTCTTCACCGTAATTAGTTTTTGCTGATTTTTCCGCCCAGGTATTCAGGGGTTCTGCAAGGACCTGCTTGAAGTAGCGGATATTTTGGAAAAGGCGACAGAGAGCGTCCCCAAAGAGGAAATCAAGGCTGACAACCCCCATCTGAAGAACCTCTATGAGGGCCTGGTCATGACTGAAGTTCAGATGCAGAAAGTTTTGAAAAAGCATGGAGTGCAAAAACTTAACCCTTTGGGTGCCAAGTTTGACCCCTACGAACACGAAGCCTTGTTCCATACTCCCATGGAAGGGAAGGAGCCTGGCACTGTCGCCTTGGTCACTAAAGTGGGCTACAAGCTCCATGAACGTACCTTGAGGCCTGCATTGGTCGGAGTTGTTAAAGGAACATAATCTATTTTAAATAAATGTTGTATAGTTATTAAATTGCCGAATTTGGTATTTCATTCCAGGAACCCATATTTTTAATTAAAAAACAAAAACCGTAAAATGTAAAGCCGAGATTAGAATTGGAGTACAGAATGTCACTGAGACTTTCATTCCAGTCTTGTATAAGGAAGAGGCACAGTGATGAACGTTATCATTGTCCATTGCTGAAAGTGCCACCTGATTGCTATGTTGTGTAGTGTTTATGCTGTAGAGTGACCAGCGGAGGTTCCCCTCACAGCATGTTATTGGGATATATTACCCTGAATAAATCTTTTTCACAAATCTCTGGCTTTAGGTCTTTTGTGTGCTGAATGGACATGGCTAGGCCATTAAAGATTCAATTTCCATAGAAAGTGCTTACCACACATACAACCTAGCTTTTACCTAAACTCCGAGGCCAGGCTTTACCTGATGGGGAAATTTAGTACAGCTGTAAAATGATTCTCTAGGCCATGAGCCATTGCAAGACTGACAACTGCAGGCATGATTCCCAGAGCCGTGATGGTTTTTTTTTTTTTTTGTTGGAGGGCTGGAGGGTCAGAGTTTGCCTACAAGCCCCACTATGTGATAGCACTTTAGTGATGACAGGTGTTCTTTAAGGAGATACAGCATTAGGGGTCTATATATGTAACCTTTGCATCCCATTGAAGCTGATCAAGCACAGATCATGGTTGACCAGCTTCTTCCCCGGCCTTTGTAGCTGGCACCTCAGAACCCAGAAGTGATGAAATCATTGTTACTTCAGGTTTCATTCAGCAGGGAGGAGATCCGTGAACAGACAATCGCTGGTCTCTCTCCCCTTTACCTGCTGACACCTGTTATGCTGGTCCTGGGAAGCAAGGAAGGGGCATACATTTACCAGCCCCTGGAAGCATTTGGGCGGCTGAATTGCTTCTGGCATTAAGCCGACAGTCTGTTTACAGGGGCCCACTGCTGCCGACGTATGACATACAATGATGACAGTGAAAGGGTTAAAAGAATATTTTGGCACATAACGAAGCCTTTTATTTCACAATGCTTGTTCTGATTACCTAACCTGAGGCTGCTGGCTTTGGATCTGCTTTTAAAATAATGAAGGGGGGTACTTGGTAAAGTGTGCAGTTACAATGCTCTGTGCTGTGGCAATGGACACGCTGAGGTTCTGATAAAGTTTTTCTTTCATTTGGAAAGGTAACAGTTTAAGTCTCGAGCTTTCCCCCTCCATCTGGGCATCTACACCTCTATCGCAACCTGAAAGTGGAAAATTGTATTCTACTTACCAGTAATTTCCCTTTCCTGGTGCCATCCATACTTGGGTATACACTATATTGCAAAAAGTATTGGGCCCCTCCCCCTCATTGGATTCAAGTGTTCCAATCACCTACATGGCCACAGGTGTATAAAATCAAGCACCTCGGCAACTGGGAGCAACAGCAACTCATCCACGAAGTGGTAGGCCACGTAAAATGACTGAGCGCGGTCCGCACATGCTGAAGAGCACAGTGCGCAGAAGTTGCCAACTGTCTGCAGAGTCAATAGCTACAGACTTCCAAACTTCATGTGGCCTTCAGATTGGCACAACAACAGTGCGTAGAGAGCTTCATGGAATGGGTTTCCATGGCCGAGCAGCTGCATCCAAGCCTTACATCACCAAGTGCAATGCAAAGCGTCGGACGCAGTGGTGTAAAGCACGCCGCCACTGGACTCTAGAGAAGTGGAGACGTGTTCTCTGGAACGACTAATCACACTTCTCTGTCATGCAATCTGATGGACGTGTCTGTGTTTGGCGGTTGCCAGGAGAACGGTACTTGCCTGACGGCATTGTGCCAAGTGTAAAGTTTGGTGGAGGGGGGATTATGGTGCGGGGTTGTTTTTCAGGGGTTGGGCTTGGCCTCTTAGTTCCAGTGAAGGGAACTCTTAAGGCATCGGCATACCAAGACATTCTGGACAATTTCATGCTCCCATCTTTGTGGTAACAGTTTGGGGATGGCCCCTTCCTGTTCCAACATGACTGCGCACCAGTGCACATAGCAAGGTCCATAAAGACATGGATGAGCGAGTTTGGGGTGGAGGAACTTGACTGGCCTGCACAGAGTCCTGACCTCAATCCGAAGAACACCTTTGGGATGAATTAGAGTGGAGACTGCGAGCCCGGCCTTCTCCTCCAACATCAGTACCTAACCTCACAAATGCGCTTCTGGAAGAATGGTCAAACATTCCCATAGACACACTCCTAATCCTTGTGGACGCTTCCCAGAAGAGTTGAAGCTGTTCTAGCGGCAGGGTGGGCCTACTCAATATTGAACCCTACGTGCGTGTAAAGGCAGGCGTCCCAATACTTTTGGCAATATAGTGTAGGTAGGTTTGCTGCCAGGGAGGCGCCAGGAAATCTAATTATTTTCTATGTGCTACAATTTGGTAGGAAAGCAGAACGCGTTGCCAAATTTGCAACTACTTTTTCACATTTGCCACACATCCAAGGACCCAATGGGGCCGTGCAGGATACATAGTCCTGTAACTGTGCAGGAACATGCATTCCTACTGCGCCGTGGTGTGAACAGGGCCGAATGGTAACAGAAGCGTGTTCCACATTTGTGCACTTTTGACAAACACACATTGAAGTGCACACTTAAAACTCATTCAATAACGCCCCATTCACACCAGAACGTATCGTCAACACAAACACTCAATATACACTGTGTGCACAATTATTATGCAAGCAACTATTTTGACCAAATCACCATTTTTATGCATATTATCCAACTCCAAGCTGTATAAACTTGAAGGCTTATTGGCATTAAGCATATCAGGTGGTGTATTTGTGTAATGAGGGAGGGTGTGGCCTTAGGAGACCAACACTCAATAACAAGCTGTGCATAATAATTAGGCAGCTTCTTTAACCAACTCTGAACACTCAAATTGTAAAAAGTCTTTCAGAGGGATGCAGCACTCTTGAAATTGCTGCGATATTGGGGAGGGATCACAGAACCATGAAACGTTTTGTTACAAATAGTCAACAGGGTCACAAGAAACCCTTTGAGAAAGACGCAAACTGCCAAAGATTGAAGAATCAAATTAGAAGCTCCCAGGAACCCATTATCCTCCAGTGCCGTCATATTCCAGAACTACAACCTACCTGGAGTGCCCAGAAGTACAAGGCGTTCAGTGCTCAGAGACATGGCCAATACTGAAATGAATCCTCAAAAATACAACTTGCCTACAAATTGTGCACACAGTGTAGCGCTTCGGACACTGCCAGAGATAGGCATCCCAATACTTTGTGGATCTTCTTCCAGAGGGTTAAAAACAAAAAGCAGATCTGGGGAACCAGCAACTCCATTAAATGAATGTTGTTATTAGGTGTTTTTCACCTTAGATCCTTGAGAAGCAATGACTCAGACACAATTGCAGTTTCACAGAAACTTATTTATTACAGCATAGAAAATGGAAATACTGAATAAAGATATTGTATTCATATCAGACACAAAACAATAAATTAAAACAATACCAAGAAGACTAGTTGACACAGAAATAATCCTCCATCTCAGCAAGAGGACCTTTTACTTGTCCTCTGCCACTTGCTGCTCTCCTGTGACCAAATGCATAAGGGTACAACCACGCTTGATAAACCTTTACAGTCCCTGCAATAACAAGTACATACACATGTATCTATAACAGGATAGAAACTATGCAAAACTGGATTTGTGCAAATATATAAAAGCTGGTCTTAACACTATGAAGGTAGAGGAAACTTCACAAAAGGCAAAGTGTGTGTGTGTAGTGTGAGAAAAACCACCACTGTTGCATATTTATATTTAAAAAAAAAAGTTCCTTTGAAGTTCTGATCCGAGTTCTAGAATGAAGGGGCAATGAGGATGTTTACTATATACAGACAATTGTTTAGTTGGATGTGTGGAATAATTGTTGGCTCAGAAAATGAAGGCTCGTTGTTCAAAGTAAAAAGGAGCCCAATGACACATTGCAGACAGAACCAAAGACCGGTACACAGAAATTAAATTTACAGGTAGGCAGTAGTGTCTGTTACAACTACATGACATACGCGTTTCATTTGATTTTTTTTTTGTCAGGAGTTTACTTTTAAAAAGGTAAAGGTATAGTCCCAAAATAGTCTAATCCTACTTGGTGCCCCTTCTGTTTTGAAGGTGGGATCCCAATTCTTGGTGTGCAGCTTTAAGGGTCAGTTTTCCAGTTGTACTGTTAGCCCACAAAAGATGTGGTTTCCAATTGAATATGTGGCCAGTCTGATTCTAGGACCCAACATAAACATTATACGGTTCATTTTAAAATAAATTAAAATATAAAGATATACATAAAAAAACAAAACAAAGCCCAAGCCAACCATTTTTCTTCATCTGCATGTTTGTAATTCTATACAAAACACATAAAATAATTGTTTATCCGATGTAATATACCCTCAGGACTGGAAGTGAGCAGATTACTGGTAGCATAACATGCGCTTATTATGTAAACCTATCTGGATCCCAAATTTCTACAGGGTACCTAAACAAAAATGTCATACTACAGCTTACCAGTCCTTGGATGTGGCAGCTGCATTTGTTTGATTTTTTTAGGATAAGAACATTTTCAGCAAGTACAGAACAAAGGCAGACATGTTTAAAGACTATCCCGTGTGACATCCATGGCTGCCTCCGTTGACACAATGGAGAAATGAGCGCAGCCACAAAGGGACGGGAAGTGAGTTATTTGCAGCATTACCTGCAAGAAAGCGTATGCGTTCACCACACCCAGGGACTGGTAAGCTGAAATAGATTAGAATATATATATATATATATATATTCATATTCATTCTAATGTTTCATTATGGTTTTGAATTATACTTTAATTAGAAGTCAGACATGGCCATTCTGCAAAAACGCTGCATCACTGATAACAGGGCTTTATCCATATTGGAAACGTAGGAGTAATTCAACAGCTTTCAAAGCATCTCAGGAGGTCCAACTTTCCAACTGTTGTATGATCATTCATAACAAGATATTCGACAGCCCAAAGGATGCCTGGTCAGAGAACACCAAGAGTAA